TATGGTGTGAATAATTTTGGATGCATCGAATTTGTTCACAGAATGCCAAATCATACATCTGTATCATGATCATCTAATCTAATCGAAACTGAAGCAACAGGTCCCCGTAAACGCCTGATGCAATATATCGAAAAGAAATGTCTTCGCGAATACCGTTTTCTAAATTGTACAGTCTCAAGTCCGATTTTGGTAGCCGGCTTTCTGATTCCAATGAAACTTTTCTCGTAACTAGATGCATTTATTACGCCATGTTTTCATCGAATGATCAAAAGGAGCAGCCTTTTCATTCGTGAGTACAGTGAACTTGACTCTACAATGCACAACGTCTACGTGATTTGTTCTCAAATCACAAATCCTGCTCACTCTACGGCAGCTCACCTCACATTTACCCCGTTTACACACAACTTGTGTAACGACACACGTAGCATAAATCACTTATGCTACATTGAAATATGGTTCACACCAAACGGGGCACTTAATGACACGTGAGAGCAGCATAGNTGCACAATCAATCCGCTGTCCAGGCCAGGGCAACAACAGTGTCTGGACCAGCTTTTTTGCTTACATAATTCTGGATTGAAAATTCGAATTGCAATCGCCTCGACCGTGGTTAAAAGCCGCCTTCTTATCCCTTTGGAATATCTCCGGGGTATAGTGCGAATAATTTTGAATGCATCCAATTTGTTCAGAGAATGCCCACTATCGACTAGATGGCCGAGAACCGAACTGCGAACAAATCTAACCGTTCCTTTGTAGAGGGCTGCGAAACAGTGCTCAGTAATACAGTCAATCTCCTGCTATGTCACACCCTCGGGAATTCGAAAAAGTGGGTAAATTTCAGGAACTGCGACATAGTAGGGTAAACAGTAGTAGGTGCCAATAAGTAAATAATAAGTAAGTAGTATAAACATCGGTTGACAGTTTTGTGAAAAAATGAACCGGGTCGATGAAAAGTACGTCAATCCCGTTGGTTGTTCCCAATAGTTGTCATTATAAACTGTTTATTTATTACGGAATTTAAATCTGCCGTCCTGCGTATCCTGTATGTATCCTAAAAATCTGAATATTTTATGACGCCCTCAGCCTATTATCGGTACATTGCATCCAGTATTCAACTCTTCTCAGTTCCATGTGTCTAGTTATTCCGAATCTACCTACCTTTCTTCTACGGAACTTTTTCTGACCATATTATCTCATATTAATTCCACATATTCCTCCATTCCGTTGCAACTTTAGGCTAACCACAGAATTGATTATTTGACTTCGACCATAATATACAACTGTTTTAGCTATAATAATCACATCACGTTTAACCCATTCAAGGAAAATAAAGGTGAACCAGTTCGAATACAGTGAGAAGGAAATAACATCCAAAATGAGTGAAATATCTGTTACGGGGTATATTCAGAACCTTGAATTCCTTCCCATGTTCAAACTGATTGTTCGTTGTGCAATCTATTCATGATTTTCTATTGAAAAATGTGTATCATTTACGTCTGTTGACATCTATTCGTTCGTTCGATTCTGTTTTTACGAGTGTATGTTCCAACCGATTGATGCATTCATTATGACCGTTGTTGGTCGAACTAAGTTCAACCAGTGACGCCTTAACGTGATTCATAAGCCATACCCACATGCAAATCCAGGTTCGTTTTCATTTTTATAAAGATTATTGTACCATATATATATATACTACTTATTACGAAATATTCTGTAAAGACAATCCGGTCATCTTTTTTGCGGTTAGTGGCATCTAACCCACTTACAAAAACACTGGATCATAGCATTGATTCTTCAATCGATTGGCTCTGAAAGAGCTGTCTATCCAAAAGTCATCCGATGTTGCAATGTTATTTTGACGAAAGTACACTTCCTGGATACAAGTATATGAATGAGCTGGCAAAAGATTACGGGATACGCATGCCTGACGAGTGGCAGTAAACGCGAAACCGGTCGTGTGCTTCCAGGGGAATTTTTTCCAGTCATTCGCATACTACTTATCATGAAAAATATAAATATATATATCAAATATAACGAAGCAAAACTTGTAAAATGGTAGAATGGTAACATATACGTGTATTTTTCACAGTGGGTGGTGGTGGGGCAGTGGTTTAAACGCTGTCACAGGCGTGCTGACTCTATAGTTCGAGGTTCGGGCCCCACTACCGCCACCCGACTTTGATGGCAGACAGCTCTGCTGTCGTCTGGTTCAATACCACACCTGTAGTTCGATTAAATACCCAGCTTAACCTATCGGGGCCTTATATGGTTCACCACTCCAAGTTCCGGGGTTTAAATTGCCGTTTTCCACCACTGAACAGCAGATCCACGTGACTATGGGGTTCGCTCCGTCTGCTGCTCATCACACACTTATGTGTTTGTGTAATAAAAGAAAATCCAAACGGTACGGGCATATTTTCTTGTTCACACACTAAAAGATTATTTTCGGTACGCGGGCACAACATACGTGAAATCCCAAAGTATCAAGCGACTGTTGGGATTTGGGGTCACGATTCAAGATCAACCAACCGTTTTTTTTTGTGATGTGATGAATGTTTTGTGTGACCACATCGGTCAGCGAAAGTTAGACCATCTCTATCTGCACGTAGAGCTCCGGCCTAATGACAATACGTAGACGAAATGTACCGAATTTAGCTGAACCACAGCAGGGACGGGACCCATTCGTGGACAAAAATGACTTAGGATGATGAAAGCAATCTTGTTCGACGAGGAAAAAATTCAGTCAAACGAAAGTAAAGAACAATGTCTCTGAGCCCTTCTAAGTTGAAATTGAAATTTACACACAAGGAAAAACGAACAGTCAGAGATCGTGCATCGAATCGAATTTCGACATTTCATCAATAAAAATCGGGAAAATACAGCAGAAATATTGAATAGGTAAGAATTACTTGTCTTGCTTTCAAAACGTTTAAACCAATTCCGTCGAGTTGCACGGAGCATCCCTTTCGTGGACCAAATATAGTAATGTGAAATCTTCAAGTATGCCGGGTGAATGAACTCAAACGGGTGAATAGAAAAGGACAACTTCGCCCAATTCAGTGGTCCAGACCTGTTCACTACTACCGTCAATGTGACAGACCCTACTGCGAGTGTGACCAATACGACTGAGGATCCTGGAGCACCACCCGGTCACATGGCACGTAAATTTTCATGCACACGCTCTGGTTGATCACGTGCAATCGGTAACACTTGCACAGTACTAATGACTTGCCTTTCTCAATTTGCTCCAACATATAAGCATACAACAACTGAGGCACTTGGAAGTAAATTAGAGAACTGTAGTAACAGGTTGGTTAAACAATATATGTACTTCCGTTTAGATCGATTCGCGACAATTGGAGCACAGTGCATCCAGTCAAGTAAACTCCCTATGCATACCTTTAGTACATTCTTGGGAAGACCACATATACGGTCTTGTCAACAACAATCAACGCGCGGCACAGCCTTCGTTAACACTACCTTGAGTTTCCCCCGCACGGATTGACGCGCACATTCGATGTGTCGCATTGCCTCAATCGCTGCGGCACACCTCCTTCCTTGTGCAGTAGTAGATTCAATAAAACGAAATATATCTAAAAAAGAATATTGTAGATGTGTTCTTGCAAAGAAATGCGCCACACAGGCCTACACCTTGATGAACATATGGTAACGTGGAATTGGAATGTCGATTTAACTCAAAGATTAGAGAATACACGTATTTCACATGCGCCAGAACATTTTCCAAACAAATCACGGTAAAATAATCTATATAAAAGAAACACCCATCGGCAGTCAGGAGATATGATCTACTATCGTTCAGTTCCCTTCATGAAGATCGAGAAGGGTATCAGTTTGACTTCGACCAAGCCCGGTCAAAAAACGCCAGAGAATTTCTCGAGGTTTGGCACTCTTCAATCAGACGCTTACATATATAAGGTGATCATAATAGAGATGCCCCACTAGCAATCAGCCCTTGGTGTTCCAGCAAATTAAAGATAAGTTGCCTCTTCAGTCCATATCTTTTGTTCTATATCTTTTCAGGTGCACTTGTAGTGTGCGATACATTGGACACACGACCAGGCGATCATCAAAACGTACAGTCAATCTCCTGGTTTGTCGCACCCCCCAATATGTCGCAGTTCCTGATACGTACTCACTTGGTCGTTGACCGATGCTCGGGACGACCATTCACCATCCACCCTGAAATGTCGCACTCAACCAATGGCGTTGCACGTAGTGTGACGCGTTCACGGCACTGTTCACTGATTGGATAATCCTAGCGAGGAAGTCACACCGATGCAAATGATCGGGGAGAGTGTCATTTGACGTCAAAATGTGCAAGGGCTTGTCGATCAGAGAGAAGAAGAATGTGCTGGAAATGCTGAAACAGCCAAGTGCAACTCAGAGCTCCGTAGCCAAGTCACTTGGAATTTCACGGAAAACTGTCTACAATGTTGTATTCCATCGAACGACTATCCGGGAATTTTTGAACGCTGTTGCATCTGAGGAAAGATGCCACCTGAAAGCTAACGAAATGCTCAAGGCAGTGAGTCAAGTAACTTTGGCTCGGTTTACTACTGTGAGGGAAGAGCACGGACAGTTCCCAATGGTGGAGAGCATCGTAATTAGGTAGGCCGTCCAGCTAGCACAAAGATTGCATCATAATGACATCAAGGCTTCCAAAGGTTGGTTTCGCTCTTGGTCAGACAGATATGGTATTCAGTCGTACAAAGAAAGAAACAAGCAACTCATGTGCATTGGTTTATAGGTCTGTGGGGAACGTTTAGCGGTACTATGGATGAGTTTCGAGCCTTCCATGCTGTTATAATTCTTCAAAGAACGCATGGATGACTTCTACGTTATTTCACAGTTGGCTGTTCGATGTCAACCGCAAAATGGTTTCTAAAGACTATCTATTTTACTATTTATGGGCAATGCCCCTTGCCATAGCCAAGCCGCAGTATTTTCCGATGTCAAATTGGTACGGCTGCCTCCGAACTGTTCTTCGATTTTACAACCAATGGATCAAGGCGTGATTTGGTCTTTCAAATGTTCGTTTCGGAAACATTTACTGGAATATGTTTTGTCTTTGATCGAAGATGGACAAAGTATCAGGAAAGCCGAGGTGGATAGTCTCATGGCCATGCATCTGGTCAAGAAATCTTTGGTGTCTGTGCACCCACACGTACTGATCAACGTTTTCATGAAAGCAGGGTTCACATCCACATTGATTCAGCCGGTGTTGCAGCCACCAGAGGATAAATGCGATCTGATGGAGGACTTCACACATTATGTGTCTATTGATGACCGTCTTTTTGAAGAAGAAATCGCCTGTTTCAGAGATAATGATCAAGAAGTGGGTTATTTAAAATTTTTGTATCAAGTCTCGTTTTGGTCATTAGATGAATTTGTTTCGCATCAAGCTAAGCATCGCAACGAAGAAGATGAATACGAGGCCGTGGATTCCCCGGAAGTTATCTCAATCAGAGGCGCAGAAGTTATTGGGTCAATTGATGCTCTTTGCCTTGGCTAATACTCGGAGTTCGGGTCGATTATTGGAGTGTACAATTGATTTAAACAGCGCGTTTGTTGATTTCCAACGGAGAGCCAAGCTGAGACAAACGACGATTTATGATTTTGCTAGAAAAGATCTTTCTAATCAGGGAAGTTTTTTCAGCTATTCTGTGGGGCACTCAAATGTGGTCATTTTTGCTGCAGTGGTCACCAAAGTCACGGGCATTCTGTTTATTGATGGCCTCTGTAGCACTAACTTGCAAACGGGTGAACGAAATTCGCGATTGACTGGTAAACGGGTGGAGTGAGCTGTCAGATCCGAGCGATCGATGAACACCGTCACACGGACGCACCCGTGTGAATGAATGATTGATACTCTTACTTGGCCTAGAGCACCGATGAAATTAGACCGGTCACCTGCCAAAGATTATCGTAACCCGGGTCTAAGGAGAGTTTGTGAGATGCACTTGTGGTGATTCTCTGCCAACACTTAGACAGCATTATAGATTCAGAACCAGTCCTTCTCTGGTATCGGCCCGAAAATCGCACGACCGATCGGGTTCATTTATCGATGGTCGAATGGTTCAGCCGCAACAAGGGACCTGGCGCTGGCCCAGCTACACCGAGAGAGAAACCACACCTTGTCTACAACCGTGAGTCTTAGGCAGGCCCAGTGAACTTCGACTGCGCAACAGGACTGCCATCAACACACGAATGGACTGAACATGACATCACAAAAAGTAGAAGACAATGTGAACCGATGGAGTAGTCGAACTATCGAACTATCCACATAGCAACATGACATCTTAAATTGAAAAGGGTATGGCTTATGAATCACGTTAAGGCATCACTAGTTGAACTTCCAGATTAGCCAGGCCAAGTAAGGTGAATCTTCATGAGAAATCCACAACTGGAGCCTCCAGATAGCCAAAGCCTGACTGGCAAGGCAGCGGGATGGCGTGTGAAAACTGACAATCCATTGGGACCCGGTGGGGTCAAACATCCAAGGTGCCTAATACACCTCGATGCCCAATCCAGCCGGTGACCATTGCCTGAACTGGAAAGAGGTGTGTGTAGTTCGAATCACCAGTGGTCCACCAACCCCGTTATAGACCCGAATATCGGCTTTTCGTCCTCTGAATTTGGTGGGAAAACACCCCGCCACGGGAAGGTAGTGAGTAGGGCTTCCTCAACAGAGGCTGTTATAATTGATATAAAATCACTATACAAGTCACTATCGAATAGATTCCGTTGCATACAGAATAAATGAAATTTGAAGCAAATAAATGGTTGGGAATGGCCGTGAGCTGCAACTGTTGATCTTCATCACCATCAGTAAAATCTATCTACCCCATTATGAACCGATTCCAGGTTCTGGTGTGTGTGAAAATTGCTTGCTCGCCTTCCGCCCTGTGAACCTGTTTGGACCCGTTTCACTTTGGCTGCATACATTCTTGCCCCACACCATGATCACTCGGTGAGCATAAAACAAAAACAACAACAACATCGCTTAAGCAACAAACTTCCTTTTCAATCCGAGTTATCAACAGGCGAACACGTACGTTTAAAGATAGTCGCAGTTATTTTTCAATCGGAGTCTACCTTTCACAAGTGAAAGGGCAGTGGGGGCTTTGGTTTATTCAAGTAACAAGTGAAAATCAATCAGTCAAACGCATTTGCAGGAGAGGAGAATCAGAAATTGAGTGTTTGTTCAAAACTAACATATGACATCGTTCTGATTTGTAGTCGCAAAGAGGGTCAAGATGGTTCTGTGATTGTTCGCCTCGTATAGAAAGATTTGCAGTCGTCAAAATGTGGTCAACAACGGAAACTATTCCCACCAGAAATGATGTATATGTCTTATTCACCGACCTAGTCAGTTTATTTTGGCACTGGTCATTGTGACTGTAGTTATTAGCTCTACTATATGAAAAACTTTCACGTTTCACTGTTTGGGAACAGATTAAACCATTTTGCCCAACCTCGAAGTTGCTGACTGTTCACTTTCAACCGAATGCTCCAGCTTCTGTGATCGTTACATAATACAAAGAAGCCTAATGTCTCGCCTGCTTTGATACACAAGAAAAATGTGTCATCATTATCCC